CCATCTATAAAGTATAAAAACCCTAATAGAGAAAGCAGTGGAATACAATAAACCTCTAGTTCTAATATTTATCGATTTTCACAAAGCCTTTGATACAGTTGAGCTAAGCAAAATATTACAGGCGCTTAAAGAATGCAGGCTAGATTATAGATATACTAAATTATTATACAAAATATACCTGCAGGCAACAACCACTGTCAAATTACATACTAACAGTAATCGCATAAAAATAGAACAGGGAGTTAGACAAGGAGACCCAATGTCACCTAAACTTTTTAATACGGTGCTAGAACATGCTTTTAAGAATTTGGATTGGATGACAAAGGGAATAAAAATAGATGGAGAATATCTAAACAACTTACGTTTCGCCGATGATATACTTATAATAGCTGAAGATCTAGGTATGGCAAGAGAGATGGTACAGGAACTCGTTGTGGCTACAGAAAATGTAGGTTTAAATATAAATATCTCGAAAACAAAAATCATGACCAATTTGGTGCCCAACCAGAACATCAGTATTGGTGGGAAAGAAATAGAACTCGTAGATAGATATAAATACCTGGGACATGAAATTATGATTGGCAGAGATAACCAGACCCATGAATTGAAGAGAAGAGTCGGCCTTGGGTGGGCAGCATTTGGAAAACTGAGAGAAACTTTTAAAAGTGAGCTGCCCACATGCCTAAAGAGAAAGGTATTTGATCAGTGCGTCCTCCCAATCTTGACGTACGGAGCAGAAACACTCACCTTAACAAAAGCCGCAGCTACCAAACTAAGAGTCACGCAGAGAAGAATGGAGCGGTCCATGTTAGGAATAACTCTGCGAGACAGAATAACCAACGGAGACATCAGGAGAAGAACCGGAGTGACCGACATCATCGAGCAGATAGCCAGACTAAAATGGAGATGGGCAGGATACATAGCCAGAATGACAGATGGGCGATGGACAGAGAGGTTATTGGAATGGAGGCCAAGGGAAGACAAGAGAAACGTCGGTCGACCACCTACAAGATGGACTGACGTTTTAAGAAGAGTCAATAAAAACTGGATAAGAGCGGCGCAAGATAGACGGGGTTGGAAACATGAGGAATAGGCCTATGTTCAGCAGTGGACTCTTGAGGCTGGATGATGATGAGGAAAGAAAAGCCTTTTTCCATCCAGTAGGAAGATTCTTGTAAATGGCGTCCTTTTCAAATAGTTTAGAAACCTTATTGTGTTGTGTTTCCCAGGAAATCTATGTAAGTATTTTTTTTATCCTCCCACTTTCAACCCCCTATAAGTGATACCCAATGTGGTAGGCAAAATATAACCACTTACAATATATGTGTAGGTACTTTAAGAGACCAGTGTGCAATTATTATCAAAACTGCCAAAAGACACTGATTTTTATATTTTTACTACGCCAATTTTAATACAATTCGTTAAATCAGTTTTTTTAATTAGCTTCAAATGTGTGGCAAATCTAGTATAGTTTGTACTGGGCTAATTTTACATATTTCGAAATAATAGATAAGAAATTTATAACTGGTTTTGAAGAAACTAATCTAGATTTTATATTTATTGTAAACACACTTCTATACTGAATGTTATCTAGTTACATTCAAAACAATTACTAAGCAATACTATAATTTTTATAAATATAGTTTTTGATTTAGAACTGATATAAGGTTTTTTAAATGTACTTTATTGTGTATAGAGAATAAAATGGTGCGGTTGTCTCAATTTGTCTATTTCACATGTATTACCTCATTCTTCATAGCAAGTTTGTTTTAAAATTTTTCTTTGACATATTAAAACCACTGTTCCGCAAAATTAATCGGACACCAACTTTAAATTAGCTTTAACCATTAAAAGCGGAGTGCGACAGGGGTGTGTATTGTCACCATTCCTATTCAATGGAGACTCTGATGAAATTTAAAAAAACTCTCGAGGAAGAAACAGCGGAAATAAAGGTCAATGAAACACCAATTAACCATATTAGAGACAAGACCTCCAAAAGCTAATGAACAAGATAGTTGAGTATAGAGATAAATATGGATTATCAATAAACATCAAGAAAACTATTACGAAAGCACGAATAAACGTCAATAAAATGAGAAAGGTACTTTGTACAAGAAAACTGAAATTAGAATTAGAGTTAGGCTGACAAGGTAATATATTTTCTCGGCTCTGCTTTACGGCATAGAAGCATGGACACTTAACGCGTCGACTACTTAAAAGTTGGAAGCATTTGAACTATGGGTGTATAGAAGAATCCTGAAGATATCATGGACCGAGCATGTAACAAACAACGAAGTCATGAATAGTCAACAAAAGAATGGAAGTGTGGGATACCATCAAGACGCGAAAGCTGCAATACCTGGGGCATGTTATGCGTAATTAAAGATTCAACATACTTCAATAAATGCTTGAGCTAACCTTATTATAATTTTGCTTTGCATAATTTGATTTATTCCTACCACCACAAATATTAATTGTATCAAAGTTTACGTTTATCTTACAGATAAGTAACCGCAACATAATTTTACGTGAAAAGGCGGAAAGTTTGTTGATCCTAAAACATTGGCTGCGAGTTTGGTGATCGGTAAAAAATATAATACAAAACTGGAGCTTTCAAAACAAATGAATTATCAGTTAAAACCATATTTTTATATCGAACCGATATAACCGGTTTTATATAAACCGAATAATAATAATTGTATAGGCAAAATGTGCCAAATGATCCTAAAAATAAATATGGAAGAAACAAAGTCAATGATTACAGGTAAAGATAAAATACTGACATTAATGGTAGACAATGACAGCATGCAGAAAAAATGGCCAAACAAAAATGGTTTTCCAACGAATGCAGGGAAATAGAACAATGCGAACCAAAATACCACAGCTACAATATGCACAAAAAAATAAAATCAATGACAAACAAGAGGAAATTCAAGTCACCCAATAGCATAAAAGGTAACGATGGAAATCTTATCTCGGATCCATCAACGATCTTAGAAACATGGAAATCATACATAGAAAAATTATTTGCATCTGACAGGACTGATGATCACCTATATGGAGAAGGAGAAACAGGACCTTCAATCCTAAAATCGGAGATAGAAGATGCCATTGCAGCACTAAAAAACAATAAGTCAGCAGGTCCGGACAATGTACCCTGCGAAATATTAAAGATCCTATGTAAATCAGACAAACAGTTCCTTGAATAACTAGTTGTACTTTTTAACAACATATTATAATAGCGGTAAAATTCCAGAGAACTGGCTGTAGTCGACATTTATGACAATCCCGAAGAAACCAAATGCCCAGATCTGTGATGACTACCGGCTTATAAGCTTGATCAATCATGTCACTAAAGCGTTCACTAAGATCATTCATAGAAGAATATACCTATGATAAATGTGAGTCAAATATTGATAGATCGCAGTTTGGTTTTCGGAAAGCACTTGGAACTAGAGAAGCAATGTTCGCTCTCCATGTGCTTATACAGCGGTGTAGAGACGTTAATAAGGACGTGTATTTGTACTTTGTGGATTTTAGAAAAGCATTTGACAATGTCAATCATGAACAATTGATAGATAGTCTACGAAAGTCAGGTATTGACGACAAGGACATTCGAATTGTGGCAAACATATACTGGTGTAAAACAGCAAGAGCAAAAATTGTCAACGAACTCACTGAAAGTGTGCAGATCAAAAGAGGTGTCCGTCAGGGGTGTACATTATTTCCACTCCTATTCAATATGTATTCCGAGAAAATATTTAACAAATGTATGGAAAATGAAAATGAGGGCATAAAAATAAAAGGCGAGTTAACGAACAATATAAGATATGCCGACGACACGGTGATCCTTGTCAGTACCATAGACGAATTACAACAAGTAATGGAAAGAGGCTATTCAGTTAGTGAGGAGTACTGCCTGAGACTCAACTTCAAGAAGACAAAGCGGATGGTGACAAGCAAAAAGTAACAACCTGCTCGACAATTACGGATAAGTAACATACTAATTGACCATGTAGAATCTTATGTGTACCTTAAGCTCCTCATAAGCAAGAATTTGTCTCTTCTCCTAAAACTGCGTCTAGTTAAATGCTACATTTTTCCGATCTTACTGTATGGTGTGGAGGCCTGGACGCTGACGGAGACGCTCACGAGAAAACTAGAAGCGTTCGAAATGTGGGTGTACCGACGCATTCTTCGTATATCCTGGACCGACCATGTCACCAACATAGAGGTAATCCAAAGAATCGGAAAAGAGAAAGAAATCGTGAATACAATTAAACAAAGAAAGCTTGAATATCTAGGCCACATATTGTGACACGATAAGTACCGTCTAATGCAATTGATTGTCCAGGGAAAAATAGACAGTAAGCGTGGGCCACGCAGGAGAAGACACTCGTGGCTCCAAAATCTGCGGAAGTGGTTCGGGCTCACATTGGTCGAACTATTCAGAAGCGCCGCAAACAAGATCAGAATTGCCATGTTAATAGCCAACGTTCGCAACGGACAGGGCACTTGAAGAAGAAGAATGACAGCATAAAACAAACTAAAGTTTTTAAATATTTAGAGGTAAAGAGGTCCAGGCGAGAAGATGGCAAGAAGGGCATAGAACTTGAAGCATAAAAGGTGTAATTCTAAGAATCCGTAGGGCAACAGGGCATTAGAGAGGAGAGCTACAGGTTGAACTTATTATGAATTACACAGAAATGCAGCAACCGAAGTCGTGTGAATACTTAGTAAGTATGACAAGCAATAGGTAAATAAATAAATTTAGCGAACTGAAATGTAACAAAAACATCTAACGGAATACCCGGAAAAAATGAGACGAGCGGTAAAGAAGAGAAAAAGTTGACAAGAAGAAGTAGCATTAGCAAGAAATAAGAAGTTATGGAAAAAACTTATTTATAATTAACTGACTATTAACCGGTGCAATGAGTTTTTTTATATTATATTAAATTGGATTAACTACTTAATAATAGTTTGTTATAAATCCCACTTACCTCAACTCAATTGAATAAAAAATATTCCAGTACGATATCTAACACACTTGTAGCCGACGAAAGGAGACACTAATTCACCGAATTATCGCATTGAAATTGGAAGAGCAAAAGTATGGTGCTAATAAGTTTTTCATTGGGAGGATGCGCCTGTGGTTTTAGCGACGCAGATTCACACACACCACTCACGTTCTGACAACTTTTTCGGAATGTTCTTTTAAAAAATTCGACGCGCTGATATAAAGGTACGCGTTTTTCATCTTGATATTACATCAAAAGATAAGTAGAGGAGTGTTTGATAATAATAGAACCAATTGTTGCTGTTAAAACCGCAATACAGCTATAAATGAAACAATTATTATTGATGGAATTTCAAATGTATTGAATGTCGTGTTAGTTTAAATACTAATTGAATGAATAATGCGTTTTCTATTAAATTATTTATAGAAAAAAATTAATCGCATTCGATTAAATATAATACATATCAGAGATAACACTTTAAAAGTACATATTATCGATTACATAGATCAACAAACCTAAATTATCTTCTAAGGATTCTTCTTCTTCTCCTTTTCTCCTTCTTTTTCCACTCTTTTTTTTCTGTATTTTCCGTTCTACCCTGTCGGTATACTGCTATTTCTTTTTCTACTGTCTAATGCGCACGGTTCTGCTCTCAAGTCCTCTTCTACATCGTCCATCCACCTTTTACGGGGCTTTCCTCTTTTTGTTTTTCTGTGGAGTTTCCATATGGAATAATGGATCCAAAGGAGAATAATGTTATTTATGTAATATTTAGGATATTAATGCAAACAGATGCTATTTTGGACTGAGTAGACATATGAGAAGTAGAAACTTAAGCCAAAAAACAAAAATAACTATATACAAAACCCTTATACAGCCAGTGTTGACATATGGATCGGAGACATGGACCATCTCCAAGGCAGACGAAGACATTCTGCTTATATCTGAACGAAAGATCCTGAGAAGAATATTCGGTGGCATCTGTGAAAATGGTGTTTGGAGGAGGAGACACAACTACGAGGTATACGGTATACCTATAGTTTGATAATTGAAGAAATTAAAGAATGTTTATTTTTTTTCGATAATGGCTGATACGACACCTGATTTATCCCATAAGGATATACTCTCCCTGGTAATACGTTATGCCGACAATAAGGGTAATATTCACGAAAGGCTTATTAAGACCGTTGAATGTTGCGATAAATCCGGATTGGGTATGGCCGAGTTGTTAATTAAATGCCTGTTGCATTTAATTAACATGCTAAATGTTGGAAATCAATGTTAAAGTGAGTTGGAAATAGATAGTTCTAAACTTGCTTTTCAATAATATGATTTTGCTAGTAACATGTCCGGTCGTTTTAATGGCGTACAAAAAAAAATTACAGATATCGTCGAGCACAATGTACCTTACATTCCCTGTCAAGATCACAGGACTAATACAGTGCTTGAACATGCTTGTAACGTAAGTGCATTGATTAGAAACTTTTTTGACACTCTTGAAGAACTTTACGTATTTTTTACATCAAGCACAAAAAGATTTAAACAACTGCAAGAAAAAATACAAGAAATAGATAAATCAGTTCAACTTAAAAACCTTTCAAGAACCAGATGGACTGCAAAGACAGACTCAGTCAGAGCTCTTAACCAAACAGTAGATCAAATTATTGAAGTTCTATCAGACATTTCCAAAAATAGAGAATTTGATGGTTCTACAAGAACTAAAGCATTGGGACTTTACAAAAAGATTTTAAATTTTGACTTCATAGCTAGCTTCTTTTTTCTAAAAAATATTTTACCAAAAATTAAAATTTTAACTGAAACGATAGAAACACCTAATTTAAATATAATAGACTGCATTAATTTGATAAAAACTACTGCCCTTAATTTAAGAAATACCGATTATAACCATAACAGTTTAAATAGTCTAATTGAAAGTGCCATAAAATATGCCGAAAAATTAAATATTGATCCTTATTCTGATCTTTCGAAATATCATAGACGAAGGATTATGCCAAAAAAAATTGATGAAAATCGTGACACTGAAGTCGATATGGATTTAAAAACTTTTTATAGGCGAGATTTCCAGGAAATTTTGGATACCTTATCAAGTGGTTTAAATGATAATTTTGAGCATATCAAAAAATCAATTGAGCCACGGTATTCAGTTTTAACATTTCCACTTGATAAAAGAAATATTACCTTAAAGATTTTAGGTGACATTGTTGCCATGTTTCCTCCAGGTTCTAAAAAGCCTGATGTCCATTCTTTACAAGGTGAATTAGAAGTTTTATTTGATATGAACTCTGAAGTAAGTTCTTTTCCTGAACTAATATCTAATGTAACCAAGTTAAAAGATAATTTAAATCAAGCATTTTGCTTTTGTATGTTTGTATTGACTGGAACCTATGGTGTTTCAACCAACGAAAGGAGCTTTAGTCAATTAAAAATTATTAAAAATGTGTTAAGAACAACAATGTCTGATGAACGGCTTGATAATTTAATGCTATTAAAGTGTGAATCTGACATGGCGTTAAAATTAGATTTAGGTTACACAATTGATAAGTGGGCAACTCTAAAGAAAAGGCGAATAATTTTAAAATAACATTTTAGGGCTTAAATAAAATGGAAGAATACGTAATATCGTCCTTTTTTGTAAATAGTCTTTCAGGTAACAGGATTAGGACAAAAAATCTCCAGAGTTTTTCTTTTTTATTTTTTTAAACTGCCGACGTTTCGACTTTATTTAAAATTTGTAGTCTTTTCTTTGTCCTAATCCTGTTAATCTAAACAACTACTTATGTAAATATAATACGTATGAAATAAGGTAATGTTATAAAAACGCTGTGTATTTATTTTATGTTTTGATTATAGTAAAGTTATTACTTACATAAAATATGTTTATTATTATAATAACTAATTATTCTGTATTTTGGAAAAAGGTGTACCTATGTAAATAAAATAAAGTATGAGAGTTGGGAATATTTTTCATTCTCCCCCCCCCCAAAAAGAGCTCTCGCGACACCACTGGGTATACCACAGATATAAACAAATATTTGGTGGTAAAGACGTAGTATCTGTTATAAGAATAGGGAGACTAAGATAGGCAGGACATCTAGCAAGATCACAGCAGAACAACCCTCCTAGAAGAATCCTTATGTCACAACCCGTGGGAAGTAGAAAAAGGGGTAGGCCAAAACTCAGATGGAAGGATGGTGTAGATGAGGATGGTAGAAAGATAGGTGCAGCAAACTGGCAACGGTTGGCAGTGAATAGGACTGCCTGGCGTAATAGACTTGGGAAGGTCGAGGCTCTTTCATAGGGCTGTAGTACCATTGATGATGATGATGTGGAGTTTCCATTACCGGATTACTTTCACAACTCGATTGTCAGTTAAACTACAGGTTTTTGTCAAATGCTTACGAAATGCTCGTATTTTTTGGTCTAACACCATCAGAAACGAAGATCTGCTGCACCTGGCCGAACAGAAGGGGATAGAAAATGAAATGAAGTCTAGGATTGGCCACACAGTTCATAAAAATACCTTCTGTATTCCAAAGATTGTCGTAGAGTGGAATCCCAAGGAAAAAGAAAAAGAGGAAGTCTAGCTAAAACTTGAAGAAGATCATTTATAGACGAGATAAGAAGTCAAGCAAAGTCTTGAAACGAGGGAGCCTTAGCGCAAAGTAAGAATCGATAGCCCGTTCTCACCGAAGCTTTATGCTCCTCTTAGGGGTACAAGAAGCCAGTTTAATCTTCATGAGTTTAAAAATGTAACTATGTCCGTTTATAATATAATTATAAAATCCGTTTATAGTATAATTTTAAAATTGTAGGCACTATTTTTTTTTTACATACAATGTCAAATTAAAATACATTCACCTTCCTAATAAACTTCCTACATACGCTCCTAATGTTTAAGCCTTTTTCTTGTAAGATTCTTTGCCTGGTAAGATATTTTGATAGAAATACACTATTTAACAGTAACTTTTCGGCCTGTACTGTATACATGTTGACATAAATGTTCTACTACAAACTTGTCACAATTATTTTGATATGAAGCGTTAGGCTGTATTCCAACGTAAACTTCTATTATAGAATGTTTTTTCATCAGATAACCTGATATTTCGAGATTAATAATTCCGAAGTGGAACACGAAGCGTCATTATATACTCTGACAAGAAAATAAGGAGGGCGATTCATTGTTAAGAACCGATTTTAAAACTGCCAACTGTTGGAATATTATACAAAAATATTATTATGTTATTTGATTATTTTTTAGAATTGAATTATTTTATTAAAAATTAATTCTATCTTTATGCTCTGTTCGTGTCTTTGTCTTTCTATCCTTGCCTTACTATTATGGGAATATAGGTACCTAACTTCCTACTATTAAAATTTTTATCTGAATCAATTTCTTAAATCCACACATAATATCATTGAAAAATTATTCATGTTATCTAAAAACTGTTATCCAATGGTTTTACGTACAAGCGTTGATTGAATAACCCAAATTTGGGTTATTCAATCATCGGTACAAGTCTGTAGCTTGAAAAATATATAAGTTATTACAATTAACATACCCCATTTTCAAACGTTTATTTTGAAAATAATTTCGATGACAGCGCAATATGCATTTAAGTTCTAAGATAGTTCAAGTCTTAAAGAATCCTATGAAATTTGCTAAATGTGTCTAGCATCATTAATAGAGCAAGTTTAGTAGTTTAAATCTTTAGCCTCAGGTATAAATAACTTTTAAACTATTTGACCGATCGGGGAGAAATTTCGCACAAATTTAAAGGACCGTAATTCCTCGATGTTCAAATGTGTTAATAACATTTTATTTTGTTAATAAAAAATTTAATAAAATTTATAAAATTACCGCAAAAATTGCTTTTTTGCAAATATCTCCGTAAATTATTTATCAATTTTAATGTAAAAAAACGGGAAAATAAGTATTTTCTTGATATAAAAAAATGATATAAATATTGTTTATGTAAAAAAATAAGAGAAAAAACTTATAGACAAAAAATTAAATTTTGAGCATAAATTATTGTTAAAAAAAACGCAAAGTTAAAATAAGGGTACTTTTTCATCTATTCTTCATCTAGTAACCCCTACCTATGCCATAAAAACTTCAGATATCAGCGAAAAATTTTCGACCTTTTTTTAACCAGAACTAACTATTTGGTTAAATATATTTTGTGGGTGGTTTTCACAATAAAATTACCATTTTATAGGATTATATAAAAATTAACATGCAGAACGCTGTATGTTCATCTAGATAAATATAATTCAGGTTTATGCTCCCACATCTGACAGTACTGATGAAAAAGTTGAAGAGTTATTAGTTATTTATTATTTACAATAAATTTGAGCAGGGGTAGCAAAACCCATATGCCCATGTGAATACAATGTTATATGGAGTGCAATTAAATGGTTACATTACAATAGTTACATATTAAGCACTAACTAACCAAATGAATAAACAAAAACATAGTTAATAGGAAGTGTTTAGTACAAATTAAATGTTCAACTATGGAACAAATGGTCATCCAGTTTGACAAATACTGACATATGGAGCATCTATAATCTCAGCCGGAAGGCTATTCCATATCGAGAACACTTGATTACAGAGAAAAAATTGTCTAGTTGTTGTTAAAAAAGTTTCCTTTTTAAACTTAAGTTTGTGACCACGAAGACGATTGTCATTGTCTAGTATAAACATATTCCCCACATTTCCAAAGTTGTATTTTACTATCCGAAACGTAATAATTAAATCGCCTCAAAGTCGACGTTGTTCAAATGTAGTGAGATTGGCCATATTCAGTATTTCTGTATACGTAGGTCTTGAGCAACCAAAAGACATCCTATAAAAAAAACATTTATATATATATATATATATATATATATAATATATATATATATATATATTATATATAATATATATATATATATATATATATATATATATTTATATATATATATATATATATATATATATATATATATATATATATATTATATATATATATATTATATATATATTTATATATATATATATATTATATATATATATATATTATATATATATATATATATATATATATATATTATATATATATATATATATATATAAACATCCGCTGTACGTTTTCGAGAATATTACCATCCAGAACTGGACGAATGTACAGTTTATACAGATGAACTGAGCTCATAAATGATACTTTCGTAAACTTTTTTTTTAGTAGATATAATTTACTGTTTGCTTTTTTAGAAATATGCAAGATATGTTTCGACCAATTTAGATTGTTATTAATTATAACACCTAGATCATTATGTGATTTCACTGTTTTTAACACGCCTTATTAATAGAGTATGGATTATTTTTACCCATGTGAAGAACTACACATTGTTCCACATTAAGGGGCAGCATACAAGTAGAGCACCATTCCGATATGCAATCAAGGTCATCTTCTAGTAACTGGAAATTTACAGAGGGATCGGAAAATAGCTTTGTGTCATCTGCATAGAAAGCTTTGTTACATTTATTATAAAATTGTAGATCACTTGAGTATGCTATAAATAAAAGTGGGCCTAAAATTGATCCTTGCGGTACCCCACTTAAAATTGTTCTCTCAACTGAGAAAGAGTCCCCAACTCTAACACAAAACTTTCTATCTGTTAAATACGCGTCGATCCATTTCAGTAATTGACCACAGATACCAAGGTGTTTCAATTTATGTATTAGTCTTCGTTTTGGAACTCGATCAATGTTGTACGAACAATTAGACGAAATCATAAAAAAAACCTAAAGAAACAAAACATAACCATGGTAATGGGGGATTTTAACTCCAAAGTAGGAAAAGGCGAAGTTAGTAACGTAGTTGGCAAGTATGGGTTGGGAACAAAAAATGAGCGAGGTGATCGACTAATACAGTTTTGCCAGGAGAAAAACTGAATTATCACTAATACTTGGGTTAAGTTACCATTAAGAATATTGTACACTTGGAGGTCACCACAAGACAGGACTGGGTACATAGTTAAAAATCAGATAGAATTCATAATAATTAACAAACGATTCCGTAACGCAATAATATCAGCAGAAAAATTTCCTGGAGCTGATATAAACTCTGATCATAATCCTCTTGTAGAGTAATTACGAGTCTGACTAAAAACCTTAATCCAGAAACAGAACAACAAAAGATTGGATATGGATCATTTTAGAAATCTCGAGATAAAAGTCAAGCTTTAGTAATGTTGCTTTAACAACCAATACTGATGATATTGAAAGAGACTGGATCAACTTAATGGACGCTATATGCAACGGTGCGAAAGAAGTAATTGGTGACTACAAGCGGAAGAAGAAGAACGAATCCATAACAGATGAAATATTACACCTTATGAACAGAAGGAGGGAAACTAAGAATAATCCCGAACAAAGAACTGGATAGAACTGTCAGCAGAAAGATAAAAGAATCCAAAGAGAAATGGTTACAAGAAAAATGTCAAGAGATAGAAGAGCCATAACGAATAGTTTTAACATGCATAAAAAAATCAATGAGTTTATTTATACTTACAAAAAAAAACAGTTTGGTAGATTAATAGACGAGAACAACAAGCTCATTGTAGATAAAGAAGAACAGTTACAGACAGCAACTTACATAAAATATTTGTTTACGGATTATCGTGATATTTCTACTAACAGTCTTGATTTAAAGGGACCAAAAATATTGAAAAGTAAGGTGATAAAAGCTATAGATCAAACGAAAGATGGGAAAGCAACAGGATGCGATGAAATACCAGTCGAATTTTTAAAAGTTTTTAACGAGAACAACCTGAATGTAGCATTGGAACTGTTTAATAAGATATACGATACAGGTCAAATTCCATCGGGCTGGTTGAAATCTACATTTGTGGCTTCCCAATAAATCCAATTCTAAGACGTGTAGTGAATATCGCCTTATAAGTTTAATGAGTCACACCCTTAAAGTATTCTTGCGTATTATCCATTCCAGAATACGAGCAAAATTAGAACACAGCATAAGCAAAACAAAGTTCGGTTTTGTCACACATAACAAACTCATAAAAATACTACATCTTACAGGACTTGACACTAAGGACATCCAGATTATAAAAAATCCATATTGGAATCAAACAGCCCACATGAACAATGGACATGTGGTGAGTGAAAACGTAACCATTTCGAGAAGGGTTAGGCAGAGCTGTATTTTTTCGCTACTGCTTTTCAACCTGTACACGAAACAAATATTTCTAGAGGCACTGGAAGAGTACAACGAGGGAATCAATATTAATGGCGTACCAATAAGTAATTTTCGATATGCAGATGATATTGTTATACTGGCCGATAACATCGAAGAGTTACAGATGATGCTAAATATAGTAAAAAATACAACTCGCAACCGATTTGGACTGAAGATCAATAGAAAGAAAACTAAATTTATGGTGATCAGTAAAAAGAACCTTCAACATATAGATCTGAATATTGAAGCCGAACGTATTAAAAAAGTACACCGATTTAAATATCTGGGATATACAGTAAATGATAAGTGGGACTCAGAAGTAGAGATTAAGATCCGAATTGAAATAGCAAGATCCAAATTCATCAAAATAAGATAGCTCTTAAGCAACAGTAACTTAAGCGTTAACCTCCGATGGGGCGCCACGAAATGCTACGTACTGTCTACGCTACTTTACGGAGTAGAAAGGTGGACGTTAACAGCAGCAACTATAAAGGAGTTAGCGGCTCTAGAAATGTGGCTGTATCAACGCATACTGAGAATACCTTGGACAGACAGAGTGACCCAGAGGTATTAAGACGAATGGGTAATGTTCCGTAATGATAAGTACAGTCTGCTACAGCTTATCGTGGAAGGCAAAATTGAAGGTAGAAGAGGTTTGGGCAGAAATAAGAAATTCTGGCTGAGAAACTTGAGAGAATGGTTTCAAATACCAGAAGCTGCGAACACAATAAATGCGGCACAAAACAGAGAAACCTATCGTTTGATGGTCGCTAACCTTCGGTAGAAGACGGCACATAAAGAAGAAGATAATCTAAAAAATTAAATTTGTTTTATAAAATGTATATTTCTGAAAGGACTTTTTTGAAAAATCTGCCCACAAAAGAAAATCCAAAACTCTGGATTGATTTGATACACACCTTACACCGAACCATGCTGATGAAAAAACGAATAAAAAGTTCAAAACTTGAAAATATCACTTACTTAGTTCCTTTAAGAAATAATAGATTCAATTATCGTAATTCTGATATTGTTTCTTATCATTGTCTAATTTAGGTAATTTCATAAAACTGGTTCTTATTTTAAAAACAAAAAAACTTGTATATTGATATCTTTTGTGGCATATTGTTAATTGATCCGTACGACTTCCGGTTATTTGTTTTTGCCAACATTGGAGAAATTAAGCTCAGTGGCCCATGATGCTGTATAAACTTTTACTTCATCTAAACAAAAAACCAATTTCATGCATGAAGACTGAACAAATCATAGCAAAGGCACATATAAATAGTCACATCTCAGATTTAAACGCATTTAGTAGATAAAAGATATTAAAATAAAATGGTTTTTAAAATGTTTAAGGTTAGTTGTGTGTGTCAATAAATTTGTGATAGGTGTAAACAAGATTTCTGTTTTAGGTTTTAAGCATAGTTTTAGTTGTTTTATCAATATTTTTAACAGTAATGGGACATCCGTTACATCAAGAAGATTTAGAGGCTGCAGCAACTGGTGATGGTAAGTTAATATTTTTTAACATTTAAACCAGTTATAACTTTTGGATTTCTTCTTATTATCTTATTCCTAGGTTAAATTCTCGTCGTTTTTCGATAATTTGTTTTCAACAGACATTGTTGTTAGTAGACCTGCATTTTCGAAAACCGTGTTATTCTTGTCGTATAATGGCATGGCATGGTCGTTTTTGAGCAGTCGCCAGTAGCGTTTCATGAAGGCATTTTACAAGTATTGTCTTGTTTTGAAATTTGAATTTATTTAAGACATTCATTTTATAAAATAAAAATAGGTAGACCACGTTTTTTCTTAAATAATTTGTTTAGATAATTAATTGCCAAATAACAAATATAACGACTGTTAGTAAAAACATTTTTATTTATAACTATTTATATTATGATTTTTTAATTGTAAACACTCGACAAATAATGACGGGATGTGGAATGAGTAACACCAAGTCACAAACCGAATTTCTTGTCTTACCGCTTATATATACCTAAGTGTATCAGATACACCAGCGTATTCTAGGAACAACTTCTAAATCCATACCACTATCAAAGAGTACAAGATTTACATCAAGGTGATATTCCTCTAAGATCATCATCATCATCTTCATTTGGCTCTACAACTCTATGTGAGTCTTGGCTAAGTTTACTATTTCCCTTCATTGTTGTCGATCCTGAGCAGCTATTTCCCATTGCTGTATCCTCAGTTTGCGTCACTGGCTACTGCGTCCTTCCATCTCTTTCTTGGGCGACCAACTGACCTTCTGCCATCGGGCAGATCTATCTCACTCGATCTTAGCACGTGGCCATCTTATTCGGTTTGCTTTAATATAGCGTACTATGTTTTCATCTCCATATACTATCTAGAATCCATCATTGTGTCTTTTTCTTCATTCTCTTGTTGTCTCTTCTCTGCAATGCATATAAATAGTCCGCAGCATCTTTCTTTCCAGTACCAGTAATTTGGCGTTTCCCGCTGGTTCGGAGTCCATGTCTCGCTTCCATATGATATTGTGGGATGAATTATTGTCTTATACACTCTTATTTTTGCTGGTATTGAAAGAATTTTTTATTTAAGTACGGTCATTAATGAGTAATATGCCCTGTTTTCTGCAATGATCCTGGCTGCCACGTCCTTTTCATATTTGTTTTCAGATGTTATGATCACTCCCATGTACTTGAATTCTTTAACGACTTCAAAAGTGTATTCATTGATTGTTACGTTTTGTCTAACCGTTGGCCTTGGATTCTTCGTAACCACCATGTACTTGGTCTTGTTGACCTTCAGACCAACTTCCTTTTCTCCGTTTTCCAATAGGGTGAAAATTTCTTTTGCATCTCTGGTGAATTGTGTAATTGTGTCCACGTCATCCGCCAAAGCAATAGTATTTTTGATTCTTGGGCGGCAAATCAAATCCGTTTGTAAGTTGTGATGGAGCTTTCCTTACCGCATGTTCCAGTGCAAAATTAAATAGCAGGGAGGCGAGAGGATCTCCTTGTCTAAGCCCGGTGTCACTGAGGAATTCCTCCGACGTGGTGCTACCAATTCTGATCCGTACGGAAATGTTCTCTGTGCTCACCTGTGCTAATCATACCAGCTTTCCAGGTACTCTTATTTCTACCATTGTCTCCCACAATGCTTCTTTGCTAACAGAATCGTCAGCTTGTTTAAAGTACACGAAGATTTGGTGTACATCGCGGTTGAATTCCCAATTTCTTCCAACACCTGGCGTAAGATGAATATCTAGTCTATAGTCGACCTTCCCGGTCTGAATCCGCTTTGGTAGTTGCCTATTATTTCCTCTGCCTAAGGAGTTAGTAGACTAGACAGTATTATGGATACAATTTTGTATGTTGTATTGATTAACGATATTCCTCTATAGTTTCGACATATTTGTTTGTCTCCCTTCTTATGGATAGGTACTTAATGGCTGTCATGCCAGTGTTTCGGTATTTCTGCTCTTTTCCAGACTTCTCTTATAAAATGATATATCTCAAGGTAGAGCTTTTCTCCCCTTTTTTTAGTAGTTCCGCCTGTATGCCGTCTGGGCCTAAAACTTTATGGTTTTTAGGGACGGAATTGCGGACTTTAGCTCAGCTAGTGTGGGCCCTGGTATTTCAGGTTCGGCTAACTGGTACTGTCTTTGTTGCCCTGTCGTTGTGGGTTTTTCTGTATTTAAGAGTTGCTCAAAATACTTTCTCCATTGGCGGGTTATCTCCTCATCGTCTGTGAGTAATTGTCCCGCATCGTTTTTTATAAATCTTGGGCTGTTGGTCGTGTTGCCCTCATTGTTTTTAGGTCCTTATAAAACTGTCTAGACTAACTGGTTCTAGGTTCCTCCTCCAGTTGCTGTATTCGCGCTTCTCGGTACTGTTGCATTTTTCTTCTCAAAAGGCTTCTCGTTTAAGTCCTTACTCTATTGTAATCTTCCCTCTTTTCATCTGTTAGTAACTCTAGCCTCTTGATTGCTTTCTGATGCAAGCTTTGTTCGCAAGCCTGGTCAAACCATTGGTTTTTTTCTTGTTATTCCTTTCTTTTTCTATAGTTTCCGCTGCGGCACTTTCTATTGCCGTCCGTTATATTTGGCCATTTCTGGTGTATGGTTAATTCTGACGTTGAGGTTTCTTTTTCTTCTAGTGTCGGCAATTTGTTTTGGATCAGTGCCTGATATTGGCTTTCATTGTCAGGTAATAGAGCCTTGAAATCCTATTTGTTTCCTTGTTGGCGTTGCTTTGTCTGTCTCGTCTTTAGCCTTGTTCTCATTTTTGTTCTTACCAGGAAGTGGTCGAAGTCACTTTCTGCTCCCCTCAGACTGTGTGCTCTGATGATATTGCTAGAATGTCTTTCATCGATAAGCACATGGTCTATCTAGTTTCGTGTGATTCCGTCATTTGACATCCAGGTTACTTTATGTATATATTTTCTTTGGATTTGTGTAGTTTTTACTACCACATTGTTGGCTACAGCGAATTCTGCCAGTATTGATCCGTTGCCATTAGTGTTATCATGTAAGCTATGTGTGCCTACCACCGCTCTAAGATGGTCTTCTTTACCTAGTTCGGCATTGAAGTCTCCCAGTATGATCTTGACATCGCGCGTCGTATCTGGGTGCCGTTGTGTACTGTTGTTCTAAAATTTCATAAAATTTCACCTTGTCATCTTCATTTGCTTCTTCCGTTGGTGCATGAAGTAATAGGAGGGTTTCCTCTAAGATATATATTTCCGCACGTTATGTACGGATAAAGCATGTTTCACAAAAAACGGTGTGTATAATTTTCATAATTGCCACGCCACATATGGGGTGACGAGAACCCTTATTTAATACGTAGGACAAATTTTTAATCAAAATTTGGGATAAATGTATGGACTGGAATAATTAACAATCGTTTGATAGGACCATATAATTTGCCCAGAACACTAAATGAAGGAGCCTACTATAATTTCTTAGAAAATGTTTTGCCGGTACTTCTTGAAGACGTGCCTTTGCAAACACGCCGTGAAATATCGTGTCTTCACGACGGAGCGGCAGCACATTTTACTAGAGCTGTTAAAAATTTTCTTGATACCACTTATCCCTTTCAGGCCTGACTTCTTTTTTGTAAAAATATCAGTTTTTAGTCCATTTCGTGGTTTTAATAAAAGTCCGGTAATACTCTAATGATTGATCTAGTATGTCAACCCCACCCTTATGTTGTTTGTAGTTAGCAATCACTTTAGGCGCAGTAACATCAATATATTTTGATCCCTGTTTATCCCAGCGCTTGCGCTTCACGTTAATATTTCCGTCTGAAGATGTACAATTGGATGAAATACAAACAGACTTATTGTCCTTCCATTTCACAAAAACTATATTGCTGCATACAAAATGTTGACATTCACCATGTTTTATGTCTCGATCTGCTTTAAAATCCATAATATTCCGCTCTGACAATCGGTTCATCATTATTGTACATGTACCATGCAATACCATTACATTTAAACGTTCCAATAGTGGTACGGAAGCAAAATAAAGGTCAAAGTAAATGCAGGTTCCTGGAAGAATAGATTTTGAAAGATGGAGGACCACTGATGCTGGTATATCTCGAAATCAATCATCAGCCCATCATGAGTAGTGGCTACCTTGACGCCTAGGCTTAGTTTTGATAACTTGTCGCAATCCACGAGGGCATGTACCGTTAAATGGGATCATCTGTTCGTCGATAGAGTGTAACTTGATACAATACTGGTTGTACTTTCCAAAGTAATTTAATGGCAAAGCTAAATCACTATCTACGACATTAAATGCCCTTCGTAAAATTTTGAATCTTTTTCTTAAAATTACGTAAATTAAAGTCATTTCTCTTCACGTAAGCTAAAGTCATTTCGTCACCTCAGTACATGCTATGACCCTAAAACAATCAATTTCTAATTTGTTGGAATTTTTGAAATGAAATGTCACGATCGTGTAGGGGCGGCATAAAAGGGTTATCCTTGTCTTTGGATTGGTAGGAGTGGACCCATTCTGTGGCCATCACGAAGTCTCGAATACTTTTTTGTTCTAAATTGTGTATTATATTTGATGGAACTTTGCTTGATATCCACCAATTGTTGGGGGAAAGCTTATTAAATTCCTTTCCCCAGTGAGCACAGTACGAAATATTTTAGGACCTTGAACTATTAAAGAGTTTCCTTCGATATATGTAAGCAGACTTCACGGCGATGATTCCTTATGTGTTCGGTTTGATAGGGTTGTACTTAGAGAAAAATAAAGCGTAATTAATCGATACTACACATTTAATAACTGGAATATTTACAAAACAACTATTACTAATGAAAGAGTTCGCTTTAACACATTGTTCATTGTTATACACTTTTTCATTCAAAATGCACTTTTTCACTGCATTTTGAAGGCGAAGAGATAGCTTAGGTACCGGCGAGTACCACACACTGCACGTTCGGTTATCAACTTGAGACACAAATCACATCTGCGATTCTTTTTGGCTTGAATTTTTATCTAAAAG